CAAATATTACCAATTTACGATAGAATCTCAACTTTCTCCAATGCATGTCACGTTAATAAATCACAATACGATTATTGGAAAAGATACAAAAACTCTGAAAAATCTCCCATGGATAGGAAGCAGTTATACCACAGGATGTTCAGTTTCTTCGCCCTAAAGAAGTACTAGAAGAGATTTTGTACATTGTTTAGGAATTGTAACTGCGTAAATCTGCGGATCTTAAACATGAAAGAGCCATAAGCTCCGAAAAATCCTGTGGTGAACCCAGGTGCGAAAGAGAAATGAAACCATGGAATTGGATTCCCATTGTCCAAATCTTGGCTGTTCTTATATCTGCACCAATGCCGTCACCGGTGCACCGCAAAGTTTCAAATTCACCTCGAAGGCGGACGAATTGAACCGCAAAGTACTGTATGATACATTAAAAATGACAAGATATTAACAACCGCCAATGACGCTGGGGTTTCTCCGGACAGATGATTTATGGAGAGGTCCAGTACTGTCTCCAAGTTTTGAGGCCAGATACTAAATTAATGCAACGCGTGGAGAAGCTGCACTGGGCCAGTACTGTCTCAATAAATATTTTGCCGGCAAATCTATGGTTCTGAAAGAATAGCGCTTCGGCAAGTTCTTCGCAATATAGTTTTGATGTAAAGAATTTGTATTAACAATGATGATCATGGGGAGTTCAAGACATGTGGTCTGTTGAGCTTAAGTGATTTCAGATACCAGCCTGCAAAGTTCCTTTGGAAATCCTCCTGAAATTCGGTCAAGAAGGGTCCCCAACCAACTAGGAAATTGACCATGTAAGGAGCCACCTTGGGACCAGAGGAGGCAGATGCCCCCACTGTTTTTTTTTTTGGCACACAAAAAATGTACTTGCTTGTGACATTAGCATTAACATTTCCAACTGCAACTACCAATGTTAAAAGAGCATTTTCAGTCATAATTTTTTTATAAATCGGATGGGAGATTAATGGATGAATTATAACATGGGTATTTTTATATAGAGATATATGTGATGGTATTGGTAATGAAGTTGTTATGCAATGCTATCAAAACATGAAAACACATCGAGGAATATTGTAATCTATTGTATGAAAAATCTTATGGACTAATATATAAGTATTTTATTTAGTAAATTCTTTAGCTTTTTATTTTGTGACTTTGTTGTTTAACAATGTGCCCATCCATGCAAATCTCTGGCTTCATCTCTGAAATTGACTGAAAGAGGATTTTACAAATTCTAATTGCTGAAATAATCAAAATCAAACAACGACGACATATATCAATCAGATATGACGACATTATGAATAAAATATTTACGATATATTGAAAAAAATTCCGAAAAGTGATCATTCTGACAATTGAGACAAATAATTTCGTCAAGGAAAGGAAGTTGACCCTTGTCTGACAAACATTTTGATTTTGCCCGACGAACCATAAACCCTAAATTATAAAATACATACCCTTGCACGACAAACAATTCAACAAAACTTGTATTATTCGTTGCACAATGGTTGTTATATTTACACGCCAAGTTTTTTCTTTGGTGCGAAAACTTTACCCGATAGATGGAACTTTGCCTGTCAAACGCTGTCCGTCAGGCAAAAGCCTCTAAAGAACCAAAACGTTACTGTTTTTGGCAACCGAATATATGAATTCCAATGATTAAAGTTTATTTACAAAATTCAAAATAGTAATTTCTAGCTGCAAAAGTGAAAGGGGCTTTATGCCATCAAATTATTATAGGCAAAACTATTAACAAACAATAATCGTATTTCTTAATTTGCTATCGCTAGGAACTTATCTTTAACATTGCTCCCAAATAGGAAATACACATGTCTCCAAGACCTAATAAACACGACTCCCCAAAATCCGAAAATAAAACCAAAAATCACTGAAAAATGAAACCACGGAACTCCTATTCCATTACGAGTGTGCACATCTTTAGTGTCATTACTTGTATTCATCTGTTGGCATTTGTTTGGAAGTGGGGCACCACAAAGTCCTTGGTTCCCCTCGAATGCAGTGGCATTCAAGTCTTCGATTTGTGCTGATATTGATGCTGGGATTTCTCCTGACAGATTTAGATGATGGTTTGAATTCTTGTGAGCGATGTTTGAGTTTTGAAGTCTTTGCTTTCCACTTATTTAGAAAAGAGGCAACGTATTACAAGGTTTACATTGACTTTGGGTGCGTGCTTTCGGAAAAGTGATGTTGGCATATTATATATTATTATCGTTTTTTTTTTTTTTGAAATTTGTGTAACTGCACTAAATTTAATTGTTTTAATACATAGATGAGGATCCTCTTCGTGGGAATCCTTTGACTTCTTAAATCTTAACCGTTTATCGTATATCATGCGATAAATTTTCATCAGGTACTATTTGTGTTTAATTTTATACACAAAAATTTAATTGATTTTTGATCGCACGATATACAATGAATGACTAAGATGTGAGGATCCGTAGGATCCCCACCATTTGGAACCGGATGGGATCCAAATCCATGCAAAAAAGAAGTGGAAGATGGTGATTTCAAGTGTATAAAGTAATTCTAGTTGAGTACGAGGCTAATTAACTATGCCAAGACATATGTATTATAATACGAAGATGAGACTACAAAGGTTTTGAATATACATGGAAATGCTATTCAATGAATTTAAGAAGAGACATGATTATTTGTTCTTATTATTTCCGTTTATTTTCTTTTTATTTAACAAAGACTTAAAGTCCATTTGTTAGAATTTTAGTGGGTTTTTCATTAGAATTTAGTAGGATTTATTTTTATTGCCATGGGTTATAAGAAGGGTTATTCTTTGTGATAAGGGGTTCAACAAAATCAAAATTATCATATTGCAGAAGGTTGCGGCAAGGAGGAAGAAAGCTAGATTTTTTTTATATCTTTTTTAGGGCTTCAATGTAGTTTGATCATGAATGTTTAATGGCTTTGTGGCATTGTTTTATTAAGTTTTTATTTCATATTGAATATCTTTTATTATTCGTAATGCGCTTGCGCTTGTTTTTTATTTGAGGAAATTTAGCAAATTTCCCTCAACCTTAATCCAATTGGAGTAACGGTCCATGAACTAAAAATCCATGACCATTGATCTCTTAACTCCTTAAAACGTGCTACTATGATCATTTTCTTCAATTCCGTTAGAACTCATGTCAAAATGAGTCACGTGTCACACACATGAGACTGAATCGAGGGGCAAATATGGTAAACCAAATGAGAAAAATTCTAGCAATGATTCCTCAACTTTAACCCAACTGAAGCAATGGTCTCTCAATTTTAAAGCAAGTTAGAGTAGATGTCATACTTAACTTGAGTTTAGCTTCTTGCAATTGATACCATAAACACAGATATGCCATGCAATTAGGGTTTATGTGATACCACTTTCCATAGAGCTTAATGAGTTCTTACTTGTTTAAATTCATCTAGATGTCATAGAGGGTTAACATGTTAAGATACTTTTAATGCAACTAGATGCCTAACTGTTGGATAATTTAGAGAAAATTGATCATCATTATTGGGAAACTACTTGAGCATAACATATTGAGGGAATTAGGTAGAATTGGTTATGGTGAATTTGGATGCCCTAGGTCTTATTTTTCTTATGTTTTCAATCTATTATTTCTATGCATTTTATTTTCAAGCTTTGTTTTATTTCAGTTTAATTCAAATATCATATCTTTTCCGTTAAAGCTTCTCCATTATATTAGTTTCAATTTAGTTAGTAAGAATTTTAAAATCAATTTGATCTTTGTGGAACGATATCCGTGCTTATACACTATACTATCATATGATTCGTACATTTGCGAGCACTAAAATTTGAGATATAATGGAGTTAATTTTGGTTGTCTAATTTTCGCAACAAAAAGCTAAAAACACTTTTGCCGTAAAAAATGGTTGTTTGATAAAAGTGCTTCAAGGAGAAAGTGTTATGAACTAACAGATGAATAATTATATAGTTAAAAATAAGAAGTATAAGAACGTATTAGAGGGTTTACATTGACTCTGGGTTCGTGCTTTTGGAAAAGTTAAAGACACTTTTGTTGTAAAAAACGGTTGTTTGATAAAAATGCTTCGAGTAGAAATCGTTATGAACTAACAAATGACTAATTATATGGTTAAACAAAGTAAAAGTGTTACGTGAAAGGGACTTATAAGTCAAGGTTATGTGCTTGATTTTTCATCTCTAAATGTCATTTGTATATAAAATTAAAAATAAAAAAAACGCACAGTTACGCGCAATAATTATTTAATATAGAATATCGTAGACCTACCTTGCATGACTTATAACACTGCTATGTATTTTTTTTCTTGAGAAATGCTAAGAGACTCTCTCAAAAGTAGAAATCTTCATTGACTATATGTCACTTCATGTTTTTTGCACAATATTTTATAATGATGACACATAGATTAACGTTAAACTATGAAATAACAGAAAGAATTCCTTAAAATTTTTCTTTTTTCTTTTTGTCTTTTGACTTCGAAATTTCAATGATATAACAATTAACACAAAGAATGCTACAATTTTGCAGATGGACACATGGCCACTTCTCTAAGTTGATTCTCAACGGTTTAATTAAGTCATGAGCAAGGGAAACCAATGGAGAATTTTGTTTTGTTTTTAGTTGGGTAAGATGCTTTATTCAAACCAACGGTCCACTGTTTATTTATCTAGTCTTCATTTATAAGTTATTTTTGCAAAAAGAACAATTTAATTTGAAACTATTTACCCATTTGATTGTCGTAATGAAATTTCAATATTTCTTAGAACATAGTGTTCAATAATTTTTTTTGAACTCAATTACATGTCTCAAACATTTCCGTCCTGCATAATATTTTTTTATGGATGATGAAACGCAACCTGAAAAATAGATAGTTCGAATAATTGAAGTTTGATGTGAAATGGAGCCCCGAACTAGTCTCCATTTAAAAAAAAAAAAAATGGAGATCCCTTTGAATAAATGGCATGTTTATATAAAACAACTTTAGTCCAATCTCCAAATGCATAAAGCGCATCATATTCCTATTCTTCTTTATCCATGTCAAGATGATCCAGCTTAATCCAATCCTAGCATAGAGGATAGAGAGGGCAGAGCTCTTGAATTGTTTTTGTTTATATTTATTTTGTGTAAGTTCTGATGTGATACAATTGAGGAGCTCAGCTCTTTTTATAGACTTTACACCTTTAGTGTCAGCTGACATTTCTAACAGACTTCATTAAATATCAGAATAAGCCTAATAATCCCAAGAATAAAACCCTTAATAGTGATTAAGCTAATCACTAATTACAGATCATATCAGTTACGTTGCATGCATGTGTTTGTAGACCATGAAGTTGCATTTACATGTCTCTTCCTTAATCTGCTATCTTATGCTCACAAGATAATTGCAATTTTAAACTTTCTGAAAAGAGATTGCACATGATGTGTTTGACGAAATTCCTGAACTGTTTTCTTTTCGCGTTTTTATTTTTTATTTTTTCCGGATTGCCAGATTGTTTTCATGTTTCCAACAATGGCCAATTTGCAGGGTTAGGTGCCACTGTAACTCATTTCCTGAACTGCCTCCTCTTGCGAAATTGGAGCTCTGTGATTTTCGCCTTCTGCTCGTGTTGGGATTCGTTCAACGACTTCCGACTTTCAACCCGTGCAAACTAGAAGCAGTAAGTGAAAACTCAACTTACACTAGTTTTTTTGTTTTACTTTCGGGAAAAAATACAAACCCGTCTCAATCATTCTGCATATACACAGATTTTGATGTGTAGTATCAAATTCAATCAGGACCCTTTTGTTAGTTTCAGTTTTCTTCTTAACCAAACTGATTGTGCAAGTTTATGAAAATCGAGGAGATTTTCACGGATAGTTTGATTTGTTATGTGACATAACTTTTTTTGGTTAAACTTATACGATGTATACTATTAGGCTTTATTCATGTGTAAAATCGTCTAATATGTTATGTTATCAAACTTCCATCGTGATTTCACCTGATGATTGATAGTCTGGTCCATAATTTTGGTCTAAACACAGAGAGAATAAATAAAAGAGCTATTCAACTTACAATCCGATTAGGGAATGAACATCCTCCTCTTAAATAGATATTTTGCACTAGAGAATTTTTGGCTCAATCCGTACACATTAATATTTCTTCATCTTCTGGGCAGCGTGCTTTAACTTGAACATTGAAGAGAGTGTTGGGGGTTTAAAAATGCTTCACTACTTGGAGAGGTTTATCTCACAAAGAAAAATGTAACGCAGCGGAATTGATAGGCAAGAGAAAGAAAGAATTCTCAAAGTATTACGCAAGGTTTTTATTCACTCACAAACTTAGTACAAAAGGAAACACTCAAACACTCTTAGAAGCTTTGTTGCTTCTTCTTACTTCTTACTTGACACTCTCACTTCTTGCTACTTGCTCTCTTGGTTGTTTCAAATGGTGTGGATGCCTTCTCCTTTTATAGGCATAGATGGAACCTTGAAGAAGCATGAAAACATTATGCTAGAGATATCTAGATAATTCTACTACCTTCCTAAGCTAGAATTATCTACACTAATCTTGTATGTTGGTGGAATCCCCACCATTCTTCTAGACTCTTCCACCAACTTGAACTTTGCTAGAATTCTCTAGCATGTGCATGGATCTTTCTTTGTGTATGGGCCGGATCAATTATCTTTGGGCCAAGACAAGATTACAATTCAACAGAGAGGTGGTTTGGAAGTTGTCAGGGACCATGAAAGATTTACTGGTGTTTGCATATTCTGACCGATTTGTACTCTCGGTTTCACTATCCGGATTGCTGCTTTTAACTTTATCCTTTTGATTTGGGGCTTGGACTTGGCCTTGGGCTTTCCTGTTAAGAAGAAGAACAAGAATTAGGAATTGAAAACAAATAAGCCTTCTCCACTTCAGATAGACCATGAATTGAATATTGTCAAGGAGTTGGAAATATGCATATCTCCATGTCCTCTTGAGAAGCAAAGGGCAAAAGAATCCCAATAACCCTACAAAGAAACCAAGCACAACGGATAACCCAAACCATAGACTTTGATCCTCATCATCGTCCAAATCCTGGTTGTTCTCATTCTCATCTGCATCATTGCCATTACTTGGGAAGCACTGGTTTGAAAGTGGGGCACTGCAAAGTTTCGGATTCCCTTCGAATGCAGAGACACTGAAGCCTTGGAGCTGAGTGCCGGTTGGTATTGGTCCTTCAAGATTATTGTATGCAACAGTAAATGTAGACAAGAAATGGAGATTTGATAGTGATGATGGGATTTCGCCTGACAGGCAGTTACTGTTGAGTTCTAATCTTTCCAACTTTGTGAGGTTGGCTATTTGGTTTGGAATGTTGCCGGAGAAGTTGTTGATGCTTAAATCCAGTTGTTGAAGAAATTGCAATTGGCCAATCTCAAAGGGTATACTGCCGCTTAAACTGTTGTTCCTGAGGGAGATTACTCTTGGCATGTTGGACAGATACTTGTACTGTGAAGACGGCACAGTTGTGTTGGGTTGAAAAAAAAACTGTACACAACTCTAGCACAAGTGTTGGAGAGACAATACAAGTAAACAAATTACTTGTATTACACAAACAAAATATTACAACACAAACTATCAAAGACACTCTTGAGAAGCTATGACACTCACTCACTTTCTAGAGACAAACTCTAGAACACTCACACTCTTACAAGACTATTCTTTCTTCTCACTCTCACTTGCTTGCTTGCTTACAAGCTTGCTTAGTTGATTTGTTGATAGATTACTTAGCACCACACCCATATTTATAGGGCATGTTTGCCGACTTATACAATCACTAGAATTTTCTAGTACATTGATCATGCACACTTTTCCATTTCTTTTGCTAAACCGACTTACCTAGTCGGTGAGATTGGGTTCTTCCATTTTAACCACATGTTTTGTGATGATTCTAGGCTTTTCTTCAAACCATTTTTCTAGATTTTCTTAGCCTAAGGCGGTGACTTAGGCTTTTCCATCCAAACACCAATTGCTGCACTTTGCTAGAGTTTTCTAGCATATTCTCATTCATGATTTTAAATGGGTTGGTCCTTAATTATTGGGCTGGTGTTGTACTTTAAACAAGTTGCATTACTACCGCGTTGAAAGTAGATGGGCAACTCAAGAGAACAATGGCCTGTTTCATTCGCAGCCTTTTTCGATACTAATGCTTGTAGTCTGCAAAGTTCCTTTGGAAATTCACCTGAAATCAAGTTGTCATTCAACAACAAAAAGAAAAGATGCGGAAGAGTCCCCAACCAACCAGGTATTGTGCCAGTGAGTCTGTTAAAAGACAAATCCAGGACTTCCAGTTTCCTGAGCTTTGAAATCCATGCAGGTATGTGCCCCGTCATATGACAGCTAAGTAAACTGAAAACATGCAGATTTTGTAACCCAGAATCGACAGTTATATCCCCATCTGGCATTGCTTCACCCTTAAAATTTTTTCTAAGAAGGAGCTGTAAGTATATGAACATGAGTTCTCGGTGAACTGGCATTAGCTATTTGGACCAATTAGTACAAGAAAGCCTTATAGGAAGATGAATGTGAGTCCTTGTTGATAGAGGAGTCTATCATAGTGGTGAACTGATGTGGATTAGGAGACATATGTTGTTTCCTGCAGGGATTTTAATAGGGAATCCTTATTGGATTAGGAGAGATATATGTCTATATATATATATTGTGACCTATGCTCTCACAGATATGCGCTCAATTAAGAACTAAGTCCTATTCTTGGTTAGAGCTTAAATTGATCTGACAGAGAGGAGAAGGATTGCAACGCACTGATATTGAATGGCAGCAGCTATGGCATCTTCAAATGGCAGTTCATCAGGTTAGTGGTATTGCAGAGTTCTTCACATATTTATGTAAGAGTTTTCATGCTTTCTTGTTTGTGTTTTAAGCGACTTAATCTTGTTCTTGGCTATATAAGTTAACAGGAGCACCTTGAGAGTTTTGAAACCCGTCAGTATTTTCATTGCCCCCATGACATTGGTGAGTCTGCTCTTACCAAGCGAGAGGAAGGTCAAGTTTTTCAATTGAAGAATCTCAGGTTGGATTTGGCCCTCGAAATCATTTGCAGCTAGTCGAAGTGCTTTGAGGGACTTGCATGAGTAGAGGCTTATTGGCCAGGTACCAGTGAGATTATTACTTATACAATCTAGTTTACTAAGTTGAGTAAGTTTAGAGAAATTGAGCGCAGAGGTATTCCCACTAAAACGGTTGAATCCCAGATTTATTTCAAAAAGGTTTGTGCAATTCATCAAAGATGGGGGCAGATGACCTTGGAGATTGTTGTATTGAAGGCGCATGAGCTTTAATATGGAGAGCTTCCCAACATTCTTGCTGATGGGTCCGACAAGCCCATTGGTAGATAATGTAATTTCTTGAAGTGCCTGAGCATTGTAGATATCAGCAGGAAGGGATCCTGAGAGAGTATTGTCGCCAGCACGAAAGACCTCCAACTTGGAACAGTTTCCTAGTCCCGGAGGAATTGGGCCACTGAAATTATTGTGGGAGAAATCAAGACTCTAAGCGAGGAGGAACGAAGACAGATACAAGAAGGTATTTGGCCTGTAAAATGATTATTGCTGACATTCAAACAGCTCAAATTCCAGGCATGCTGGAGGAATGAAGAAGGAATTGTAACATTGAATTGATTGTTCGACAAATCTACTATTTGAATGTAATTAGATGACAGAAACAAAGGTAATTCTCCGGAGAGAAGGTTATCGCTCAAATCAAGGATTTCGAGGCGATTGAAGGACAAGAAGAGTCCAGCTTCCAGAGTACCGGAAAGCAGATTGTGGGAGAGATTGATGTGCGAAAGATGAGTGAGGCTTCCAAGGGAGCGAGAAACACTTCCTTGGAGCCGCTTAGAGGGCAACAAAACATGTGTTACCCTACCATCGGCATCACAAGCGATGCCTTCCCAGTGACAACAATCACTGGAAGACCAATTTAAACGAGAAGAAGACATATCAAAAGATGACAAAGGAGAGCTGTGATCGGCCTCCTTGCAAGCATGGTTTGTAGAAATGAAAGTAGACAACAAAAAAAACAGGATTAAGACCCCATAAGGTATTACGCGGCTAGCTTCCGGCATGATGTTTTTCGCTATGTCTGGACTGGAATTATATTGCTCACATCGTTTCGGGTGTATATATACACTCCCTTGTTTGGAACAAAGGAGGTAAAAATTAACAAAGGGAAGAAGGTAATTAGGTGATGGTTCGAATTCTTGGGCGCAATGTTTGAGTTTTGAAGTCTTTGCTTTCCACTTATATAGAAAAGAAACAAACCAGCAGAACATGGGACGTCACTAATGGAGGTTTACATTGACTTTGGCGTCGTGTTTTTTGAAAGAGCTAAAACAATTTTAGTTTTGAAAATGATTGTCTGGAATATTTTTTTTTTAAAAGATCAGATTTTTGAGATTTGACAGGAGAAATGATTAATTTTTGGGGTTTTTTTTAACTTTAATCCTTTAAGAAGATTGAAATTTAAAATAAACCTGGTATTAAATTACATATTGATTATAATCCCTTGATGTGTCCTTAATTCGAATTAATTAATATGCATTTTATTTAAGGGTTTTTTTTTTTTTAACTTTAATCTTTTAAGAAGATTGAAATTTAAAATAACCTAGTGTTAGATTACATATTGATTATAATCCCTTGATGTGTCCTTAATTTGAAATAATTAATATGCATTTTATTTAATGTCTCATATTAAATATTTAAATTTATTAATATACAAATTTTAATTTATTAATTTTATTTAACATTCTTCAAACTTGAAAGACTCAATTAATGTACCTAAATGTTCGTACCGAAATGTGTGTACCGAAATGTATTATATTGAATTAATGTACCTAAATGTTTGTATCGAAATGTATGTACCGAAATGTATGTACATAAATATATGAACCGAAATGTATTGTAATGAATTTAATGTACCTAAGTGAAGAAGACAAAGTACATCAAAATATATTGTATAACAAAAATTAGTTTATCTAAATGTTTACAATAAAATATATTATGATAAATGAAATGAAAATGAAAATGAAATAAAATTAATACATTAAAAATTAAGAAGAAAAAAATAAAAAAAAAATAAAAATAAAAAAATAATTAATAAATGAGGTTATTAATGTATCTAGGGACTAAAATTAGATTTTGATCTTACTCATGGTTTTAATCTAAAAGGCATCTTTGCAAAGGATTAAAATGAAGTTTTCTATTAATTTTTTTTAGTAACGATGATATTTTAATCATATACTGATGACTAAATAATGATGACTAA